GCCCCTTTAAGGAAACTTTTGTCTTGTCTCCCGAGGCCACAGGAGGGCGCAATGAGCAAAATAATGCAGCGCATTGAATTGTTTATTCAATGCAATTAAATAACAACTGTCTATAAAGATTGTGCATAAAGTCTAAATTAACATATATAAATCAAATATATTTTCGTAAATTGCATAAACAATTATGAACAAAACAGCATCATGTATTTATGCATTGCTTAATCCAAAGAGCCGAAGCGCCATTCACACAGATTGCATTTAAAAACATAAGAGACGCAGAGAAATGGAATAAACCTTCACAATTTCGCGACGTTTTCTAAAAGTTTAAACTTTTTTAACTTTGCATGGCTACATCTCTTGTGTGAGACGTGAGTGCAGCAGTCATATGCGCTGAATATGCGCTCTGTGTGAATGGCTTGGTTTCGGTTTTAACCTAATTAAGATCTTCTCCACATTGAGCTACTATATTTCTCTTAATATTTTGCAACAACGTCACTTACAGTACATCACGTTTGTGCGTCAGTCAAATGCGCTGAATATGCGCTCTGTGTGAATGGCTTGGTTTCGGTTTTAACCTAATTAAGATCTTCTCCACATTGAGCTACTATATTTCTCTTAATATTTTGCAACAACGTCACTTACAGTACATCATTATCACCGCATCTCGTGCGCCACTGACAAGGCTCCCGGACGCACACATAACATTCGATTGCACCGTTTTTGCATTCAAATGCAAATGCTAATTTTTTTTATTTTAAATTCGACTAATATTCATTCTTTATTCACAATCTCCTCATCACAGTCAGGCACAGCACTCATTTCAGCATGTGTTTGTAGGCTGTCTGCGTCACTCATAGCACGTGCCTATATCGTGCGCTATATCGAACATTTTTTCTATCATTATCGATGAAGGTGTACTGTCGATACATACCGATACCGTTTTATCGCCCAGGCCTAGTCATAGGAATCATCAACGTTTAGTTGAATGCATCAATATTACAAATTGAATTCGATTTAGAGAACGTATTTAATGATAGTTAAAAAAAGTATGAATTATTCCTGGCCTACATATAATCTGTGCTATTTTTTAAATTACAGTTTCATAAATTTCTCAAAGACAATTAAAGGAATAGTTCACCCAAACATGAAAATTTGCCAAAAATTTACTCACCCTCAGGCCATCCAAGATGTAGATGAGTTTGTTTCTTCATCAGAACAGATTTGGAGAAGTGTGTCATTATATCACTTGCTCACTAATGGATCCTCTGCAGTGAATGGGTGCCGTCAGAATGAGAGTCCAAACAGCTGATAAAAACATCACAATAATCCACATCTATTACTTTAATATTATAAAATCAATTATTTAAATTAGTTGTATTAGATATAACTTAAATTTTTAAAAATTAATTCAATTAAAATTACACAAAAATAAATAAAAAGTATATGACAATGACGTTACTTTAAGACCAGAGGTCAAATGATTGTGACGTTTTCAGAAAAGCTGCACTACTGTACCAAACAAAACGTTTTGGTGCGAGATTTGAAGTGAATACATAAAGAAGAGAAAAATGAAGAGAGTGTGTTTGCAAAAAGGGTGTGTAGAGATGCTGCAGAAACTTTTAACAATTAATGGACTGTAGTGGAGACGGCATAGAGAGGAAAGGGAGGGTCGAGAGGAGGGAGGCAGCAGACTGCAGAGGATGAGCGTGTTTGTTTTGGGGATAATGAGTCAGGTTGGAGGCAGGGCTTGATGGAGCAGGTCAATTTGCGACAGAAAGGACGATGGAATATTGAATACCTGGAGATGTATCGGAATGAAAAGCAGAAGCACTTTGCAAGAGAGAGCGATGTGTGCAGGACAGGCTGGACGCAAGTGCGCATGTGTGTTACCGTGGGCGTGCTCACACGCAGACGACTTGCTCTCAAGGGAACAGCTTCACAAAAAGCAGCATTTTTTCCAGGCCAGACTGGAATCAGAGGACCGATCACATACACGCGCGCATGGGATCTTACAGCACCATGCAGTGAAACACACACCCAGCTGGGAAATCACAAGCAGACTTGTGTTTGGCGTGATCACACTAATGAATCTTGCTGTAGTGGAAACGATGCGAGACATCCGTTTTTTTAAATCAATTTCCTACTTTTTTCTGCTATAAATGACGTGCACATCTATTTATGCATGAATGCATAATTTATGCATGGCCTGTCAGATGCAACCTTTCTGATGGAGGCGTGGGAGGGGGCGATGGCACATCGGCGCATGTAGAAGTGGGAGGGAAACGGTGTTTGGAGGAGGGAGTACGATGGTAAAGTGAGCGAGAGAACGCTCGCGTCGGGGAGAGAGAAACAGAGAAGGAGCAAACACATGAGGAAGGAGTGAGGGTGATGCACATCGAAACAAGGAGGGGGAGGGCAAAAAAGAAGAAGGAGAGAGAGAGGGAGAGAAAAAAGAGACGCTCAAAAGACAGGAGAATCAAGGACTGGCTCTAGATGCAGGATCCTACGGCAACAACATCGCGAGGGGCAGGGACGCTGGAAGATGGTTTCAGTAAGAGGGGAACTGACCGTTGCCTATAATTTAATGTTCAGTATCTTGGACTCCTTCTCCATGGGTAATAGCTTAGCACCTGTCTGGGCATAAGCTCCTCTGTTTCTCTTCCTGTGTCTCGTTCGTTCGTTCTCTCTATCTGTCGCTCTCCTCTTTTTCTGTCTTCATCTCTCGCGTAGTGTCTGGTAGGTTTAAAGGGATCGTTCTCCCTGAAAGTAGATCTCTGGCTTCATGTACTCAGCAAACCTTGCGTAGAATGTAAAAGGAAATATTTCGTACAATGTCTCAGCTGCTTTTTTCCTTATGGTGGAAGCGAATGGTGACCAAGATTGTTGCTCAGTCGATTTTTATTATATGGAAACGGGCAGCTAGGACATTCTGTTGAATACCTCCTTTTATGTTTTACGTAAGCAAGACGTAAGCGTTTCGGTTTGGTCAAACTGTCCCTTTAAGTCTATAGGGTCTGCTTAGCATTTAATCAGGGTAATGGGGGTCAGTCTTCTGGTCCGTGCTGCCCTCGGAGTAAAGGAACGAGAGAAGAAACGGAAAGAGAGAGGGGGCTGCCGCCGCACCACGCGCCCTGATTGGAGTCATCCATCTGTCTTGGGATTGCTTTCAGATTTGTGCCTGTGGGGAAGGTGAAATCTTTGTGTGCACACAATTAATATTTCTGTCTCTTTTGCTCTCTGTAGGGGTGGCACCTGCGAAGAAGAGCCCCAAACTGGTGAGTACAGGTGTTTTATTCTCATTCTCCCCTCACTTTCACCCCTGGGAGGAGGGCTGGTTTCATTGGTCACATGGGCGTCCTGTAATAGCCCTCTAATGATTTACCAAAGACAACAAAACCAGCAGGATTCCATCCATTGAGCTTCAGGGACAGAATAGCATTAAAGTGTTTTTATTTTTAATCGTTTGTGTTTCACCAGCCTGTTGATGATAGATGTTGGATTTCAGCTCTCAGTGAGTCTGTGGATAGTAGAAACAATAATCAGCATTCTTCTGGTAAAATGGCAGCCTTGCGTTTTTCTACTTTGTTGAAATGGAGTCTATGCTTGCTTGTATGACTCCTCAATGCCAGACGAGCGTCTCTTAAGTCTCAAATGGCCTCTGTTTTATTTGGATGGATTTATTAGCTACTTATTGAATTGTGGTTTTATTTTTATTGCTGGATTTCTTCTTTATTTCCTTTCTGGATGTCTGCTGTAATGCACAGATTCGTAGGTTGTGCTGGGCTGCAAAAGGATGCAGAGGTGTGTGCGTGGGTTTAAAAAGAACTTCAGATGACTTTGTAGAAGAGGGAACCATATAAATGTCATAACCCGACCCAACTAGTGGCATTATATAATTAAATTATGATGTATTACTTGTAATAAATATTAAAACAGGAATTTAAATTCATTTATATAATAATTGTAAAAACAGGAGTGGTTTTATTGAAGTGTAATTTTTACAAATTAAATTGTCAGAACAATTTTGGTTGTTAATTTTTTTAATGGCAGCATTATTCAAGCTGCAAGTTTGAGCAAAACTTTATTTTTTCCAGCTTTATTTGAGAGTGAGCATCTTGGAACATCTGACCATCTGTACAAAGGAATCACATGATCAGTTACTCTACTTTGCTTATTTGATTAGTGACATAGAAATAGTCTGAAATATTTCTTAATCATTTTAATGTTGCTTTGTTTAAAATGTAGGTTTTGAATTTCAGATTTTCAGACTTTATATATATATGTGTATATATATATATATACTGTGTATATATATATATATATATATATATATATATGTATGTATGTATGTATGTATGTATATTATATTATATTATGATGTCAGTTCTAGTATTAATATATTGTATTTGTTATATTAGGATTAACCATACATATTTGTGACCCTGGAGCACAAAACCAGTCTTAAGTCACCGGGTATATTTGTAGCATTAGCCAAAAATACATTGTATGGGTCAAAATTATTGATTTTTCTTTTATGCCAAAAATCAATAGGATATTAAGTAAAGATCATGTTCCATGAAGATATTTTGTAAATTTCCTACTGTAAAAATATATTAAAACTTAATTTTTGATTAGTAATATGCATTGCTAAGAACTTCATTTGGACAACTTTAAAGGTGATTTTGCACCCTCCAGATTCCAGATTTTCAAATAGTTGTATCTCGGCCAAATATTGTCCTATCCTAACAAACCATACATCCATGGAAAGCTTATTTATTCAGAAATTGAATTGGTCCAATAATTGACCCTTATGACTGGTTTTGTGGTCCAGGGTCACATTTTATGAAACAAGCTTACAAAATGTGATAACTAAAGCTGAAATAATGAGTTGAATTGCTTAGAGGGTATTGGTTGAGAAGGTGAGGCTGAATGATAGTTGAGTCAGAATATTAAAATAGCAATTGAATGTGCCAATATAATTCCTGACTTGAATTAATCCTGACGGAGAGGTAAGGAGAGTTGTGCGTCATTCTGTCCTTCGACTCATTCATTCATGTTTCTTTTTTTCCCTTGCCTGCTTCACATTTATTCAATTCCTGCAGTCCATCTTAAAGGCACTTTGGAGGTTGTGGTGTTTTTTTTCTTTTCTATTCACGATTCCTCTCTTTTTTTCCCCACCACAGCAACAGTTGGAGCGCAAGGACAGTCAGGGCAGCTCCCAGCACAGCGTGTCCAGTCAGCGCAGCATCCACACTGACTCCCCCCTCCACGCCTCCCAGGCCCTGCTCAACGAGTCGGTCGCACCACCTCCCCCCTCCCAGCCCCTGCCAAGCCTGCCCCAGGACCCTCCAGTAGACGGAACTCTCCAGAAGAAACCAGATCCCTTTAAAATCTGGGCCCAGTCCAGGAGCATGTATGAAAGTAGGCGTAAGTAATATGGGATTCCGGTGGCGGGTGCACTGGCAGCGGATCACTGGCTCTCTCCTTTATATTTGATTGGTAATGGGATATCAGGTTTGGTTGGTTGGGAACAGGCTGGATTCCTTGTATGATTATTCTGCTTTGCCTTTTAGCTGAATATTAACATTTTGGGGTCTTAAAAATGTTTTTGTTGGATAAAAAAAAAGATCTAACATTGGTGTAAAAAGATTATTGCCAATCACTAATTTTAAGGCAAGACTCTACAGGCAACTTTGAGATATTGGACAATTTGGCTTTTGATAACATGTTTTTTCAGGCTGGTGGAAAGAAAAAATGCATAATACACTTTTAAGTGTTTATTTTATTGCACTTTATCTGTTCTTTATCTATTTGCATCTGTAGAGTTCAATTTCAATGCATGCTTTCAGTATTCTGCACTTCAGTTGCACTTACATACACCAAACTTTACAGTATCTAATTTTCTGAAGGTTTTTAAGTAGAGTTTGTAGAACATTTGGCTGTAATATGTCAACAAAATGAAACAAGAATTTTGAACCTGGCTTTATCCAGATAATGCATCCTTTGCATATTTAAGCAGAAAAATTGTAATACAATGGAAAAATGCAATTCTTAATGTAATCAATCAACTTGGGAAGTATGGTGATTAAAATCTTTAGCTGGAGTTTTATTATTTTAAATTTAGCGGAGTTAAATTCAGCTGGGTGTCTTGCTTTAATAGTGAATCTATACATAAACCAAATTAACATTTTCAACCACTCACGGCTACTCAATCCTCTATATTAATTAGCAGATGTTAAGTAATTTGTATTTCAAATTTGGTGACACCGCCATGCAGTCCATTAACATCAAACGTCCTTTTGAGTATGGCTGTAGTCTTTCAGTATTCAAATAGCTAATGTAAACCATTAGTCGTCAGTTAGGATCTGCTATATCTGTTGTGATCAGAGAGCTGTGTTCAGATGAGCCCGTCATCTGTACTTCCAAAGCCATTCATTAGCCTTTCCCATTCCTTCTTTCCTTCACTTTGCTTTCGCCTACTCACTCACCGCCAGTGAGAATCCAACGTGAACGGCGAGGCACTTCTGACCAATTACACTCCTCCCTGCCATCAGTGCATTCACACGCTCCAGGGCGCTCTAGAACACATCTTTTGACAAATGTGCATATAATTGGTAGTGGTGGGAGCCAGTGAATCCAATACTACTTTCATGTGTGCCAGAGCAGGGGGGCTAATTAACAGGAATATCCTTCAGAAGATGTTAAGAGGCTGTGGAATGGAGTGCTCCATTGTTTGGGTTGGAAAATCTTGCCAACTTGGAGTGTCGTCATTGTTTCTGCTTTTGTTAGTGTCTCTCATTAGCAAGTCCTTTAAGAAAGAAGATGTTGGGACTTGGGATAGCAAAGAATTGAACAGTTCCACCTCTTAAATATTCCGCTCCTTTAAATGATTCCATTAACAGTTCTTTTAAGTACTTTTCCTTTTTGGGAAAAAATTAAGTTCCAAAGATAATTTAATAAAAAATTTTTACAAACGTTTTTTTTTATTCACTGAAAAGAACAGTCTCTTTAAAGACTGTCATTTGTTCAGGAATTAGACTACACTGATTGTATTATATTTTTGATTCACTAAAAAAAGACAAACTTATTGAAGTAATTCATTATTCATTGTTAGACTGTATGTTTTTGATTCACTAAACAAGAACCAAATCAGTAGAGTCATTTGATTGAGATTTCCACTAGTTCTGGTGTATGTTTCTGAATCACTTAAAAGAACCAGCTCATGGTAGTCAGTTCCAAAATCAGACTACACTGTTGCAGTCCTTGAACGGTTTGAAAGGTAAATCGTTGCCATTTGATTGACATTTTTTGATTGAACAGCTTGAGAACATTCAGTTCAATAAGTGTGAGCAGTGAGCAGCTGCATTGAGAGGCTTTAACGCAAATGAATCTAAGTTGAAGTTCTGTCTTTGCCATAATGCACAATTTGCAGAGTCTGCCACAACCGTCCTTGCTGCTTAATGGAGATCGAACAGTATGGGAAAATTGCCCATGCAGCAGCCATTTCGTATGGCTCTGGAGCCATTCTACTTCCTGTCTCTGTTACAGTAAATTGCTGTGCATCTGGTTAGACTGCAGACGGAGGTCCTTGTATCTGCCATCTGCTCCACACGTCCAGCTGCATTGCAATAGCTTTGCAGTAGATTCACAAACGCAGAGCATTTGTTGTTAGCCTACGCAAACCGAAGCCCATTCTTAAAAGTAGGCTTGTTTAAAAAAGATCTCCGGGAAACCTGCGTCAGAAATTTCCGGCCAGAGCAACAGTTTCCAGCTGTCTCTTACTTAACAGGCATAAATGTCCCCGACAGAACATCATGTGATGCATTGGAGAGCTACAGGGTCAATAATGTAAAACCTGACAGATTGCTGATGTCTGCAGGGCTTCAAGTCTAAAAGAGGGGGAAGCTCTGCTGTTGCTCGTCCTGACTGATTTGACGTGGAAGTGCTGTGGTGGAGACAGTGCTCAGGCCATGGTGTAAACAGTGTTGGGTAAAGTTACTTTTAAAAGTAATGCATTAGGAAAAAAGAAAACAATTCCCACACACTGTCAATTAGTGCAAAAGTATCAAAAAGGTTTAATAACAACGTTTCGGTCGCATGACCTTCATCAGGTATCTTCAAACATGAAATTACAATTTAAACCACATTTAAAAAGAATTAATGACCAATCACTGCAAAGGACCATCGCTTAGTAATAACCCACACTGGGTACATAATTAACATCTATCACAAAAAAGAAAAGAAAAAAAAAAGTAATTTATAACATCACATTAAACAGTGATTCATCGTTCATGCCTAAAGGAGACAAAGTCTGAAGAGTAAAAATCCAAAACAGCTCACGTCGCTGTAAGAGTAATTCGATATCTCCCCCTCTAGGTGGCATATTGACCCTTTCAATCCCACAAAAGCATAAGGTAGAAACATCATGGTTGTGGGCAAGAAAATGGGCTGCAACTGGATAATTCATATCTTTTCTCCTGATAGAGCTCTTGTGCTCACTAACTCTTTGCTTAAGTTGACGTGATGTTTTACCAACATAGCCTAAACCACAAGGACAACGAATCAAATAAACAACATGAGTGGAGACACAAGTTATCACAGAGTTGATTCTATATTTTTTACCCGTTCTCGGATGACAGAAGAAGGAAGTTTTGGATGTATTATTGCACTGAGCGCAATTAGCACACTTATAATTGCCATTTGGTATAGGACTAAGTAATCTCTGGGAAGAACCAGGAGTATCACTTTTCAAACGAGCATGCACCAAATAATCTTTTACATTTCTGGAACGTCTGTACACAATTGACGGAGAATGCTGAAAGATAGAACTCAACTCCGGGTCAGAGGATAACAAGTACCAAAAATAATGCATTAAAATATTGCGTTACTTCCTAAAAAAAGTTACTTAGTTACTTTTTATTGAAAGTAATGCATTACCTTATACTTTTGTGTTACTTTTTAAATCTGGGCAGGGCTTGCTTGTTTGCTTTTAATATAAAAAATTCTATTTTTGGCAAATGTAAAAGCTCTTTCACACCAAAGCCTCAGGCTTAAGGAAATGTAAATTCACGTCTGTACAGTAGAACGCAGAAGAAGAAAGTTCAACACTCTTCAGCAATAAAAAAAGAAGAAGAAATGTTAGTTTATCTTGTGTAATTTTTGCTTATTAGTATTGGATCATCGAAGGTCAGCAGCAAATTGGTTAATAAAAGGGGCTTAAAAACATAAAGTATATTTGTATTATTTAACATATTTAATTATTGCAGCTTTGGGTCATATTCTGACTTGCTTTTAACTGTTTTTATTCATTTTGAGGAAAACTAAATCTGATTTTTATAAGTGAGATGAATTAATGCATGTTCACATTTATTCTAGAACTAAAGTAACATCTTACTCCCGATTTCTCTCAACATGGGGACAGGAGAGCTTTCAATCAATAAATGGGAAAAAAGTAACTGGCGTTACTTATTTGAAAAAGTAACTCAGATATTTTCTTGTAAATTAAAAAGTAATGCGTTACTTTACTAGTTACTTGAAAAAAGTAATCTGATTATGTAACTCACGTTACTTGTAATGCGTTACCCCCAACACTGGGTGTAAAGCTCAAGGGCACAGCTGCTTCAAAAGACCTCTGGATTCTGTCTTCTGCTTCACTTGATCTGTAATCTAGATTCAAGCACGTGTGTCAGTGCTTATCATTTTCCCTGATGGGAATACCTGTTAATCAGATTGTGCTATGCGAATTCATTCGAGCAGAGTAGTCATTATATTACACCTTCATTGGTGTGAACCAATTAGAAAAAAAATCCAGATGTGAGATGCAATCATTAAAGTGACATTGTTCGCTTTTCTACCACCTTGAACCAGCAGCCATTCTTGAAAGTGGGAGGTTTAGGCTCTAAATCAAAGCTTGTGCGTCATTCTGCAGGTCAATTGATCATGGTCTCAAGCTATTTTTCCTCCTTTTCAGTACCTGATTACCAGGAGCAGGATATTTTCCTGTGGAGAAAAGATACCGGCTTTGGATTCAGGATCCTTGGAGGCAATGAACCTGGCGAGCCGGTGAGTGCAGGCCTCATTTGTGCAGTTCTGCAAGTATTGTACTAGTCAGTTTGTTCACTTTTTATATTTATTATAGTTATTTATTCATTTAATCAGTCTTGTGGTTAGGGCTAGTTGTAATTTATACATAAGACTATTTAAACTATTTAATTTAAATTTTGTAAAATGTTTTATAATTATTATGCATGCATCTGTCATATGGTCCACATAGAATATATACATTATATATATTTGAATTAATACATTTGTCTCACCACAGGACCATATAAAATGAAATGATGAAGGTAAATAGTTTTGAAGTTGTAAAAAAGGTTAGGAAATTGTGACCAGTTACAGGACCTAAAATATATACTTTTATATACTGTTATTTTATACATTGATATACAATCTATCCCAACATCTTAAACAAAAAATCATTTAGTACTCTTAATTGTATTGTATGAATAAACGCCTGTTTAATGTGAACAGCAGCGTTATTTTAGTATTACTTATGTTTTAAGAAATATAGAATTTATTATTTTGAACATTATTTTCTTTTCCATTTTATAATTTTTTTAATATAATTTTTTAATATTTCTATTTTAGCTTTGATTTTTTTTATTTTATTTTTTTTAGTCATTTTAGTTCTTAAACTTATTTTATTTGTTTTCAAAGTTTTCAAGTTTAAGTTTTTCATCTAATATTTATATTTTTTATATGTCCAAGACCAAGACTGGTTAACACATTGCTACGCTTGTCAAGTAAATATTTGATAAAAAATGTAACAACATTAATTATTAATTCATTTCTATTAATTAGTTATAATGCCAGACAAAAATACACTTGTACTGTTTGACAGTTCCAAAGGCGTCCAACAAATATAGACCCTTTGAAGATTTTCCAAATGTAATAGTCCAAGCTTGGCTGAGTTCTCTGATTCAGTCTTCACAGCTTGTGCATGATGCCCAGTGCATTACAAACACTCAGCTTTTGGCAAAACTTGTGCCCAGTGAATGCATCTGCCCTGTGTGTGTAGGTTGACAAAAGCTTTGATCTGTGCAGTACAGCCTCGATCAGTCAGAAAATATATCTCAGACCACCAGTTCTTCCCTTTAATAAGGCCATGTTACATCTTTGAACTGATGAGACGGTTTCTCAGACTCTAGTCCTTGAAGAATGAAATACAGAGATAACTGTAATACTGCTCTTTTCGACTGGTAAAGGGGTGTAAAAAGTCCATAGAGGTTTTACTGTTTGGAGAACATTTCACAACAATTAGTCATAAAATAAGCAGAAATGTCAGTGTTTCAGTAAAAATTAATCCCCTTGACACGACACAGACACCCTGAATTTGAAAAGTGATGGACCTCGAGGAGTGATGTTCACTTTGGCCAATACAGTGTGAGTTGTAAGGATTTTTTCTTGTTAACTGTCTTTCTGTGTCTGTCTCTCCTGGCTGTACAGATTTATATTGGCCACATTGTGAAATATGGAGCTGCCGATGAAGATGGGCGTTTGCGATCAGGAGATGAGCTTATTTGTGTGGATGGAACGGCTGTTGTGGGAAAATCCCATCAGCTAGTCGTTCAACTCATGCAACAAGCTGCAAAACAGGGTCACGTCAACCTGACCGTGAGGCGCAAGACTGGATATGGATGTAAGCAGGCTCCAAAATATGATTTTTGTTGAGAAACATTACAGGCTATAAATAATATATTTCTAGTCATCAAACTGTGTTTTACATTTGTATTGAAAATCTATTTTGTTCCTATGAAAACTATTATTTAACAATTGTTCTTGCATTATTGTTGCAGACAGGTGAATGTGTCACCTGCAGAGATAATGATGAGATAAGCCTGAGTCAATCACAAAAAGTCAAGCCACATTTTTAATTTTGTTGCTACTTCTGTTTCAATGGCTTAATGTTTTCTATTTTAATATATTTTAAAATGTAATGTATTACTTAGATAGCAAAGATACATTTTCAGTTGCCATTACTCCAGTCTTCAGTGTCACATGATCCTTCAGAAATCATTCTAAAGTGCTGATTGGTTGCTCAAGAGCCATTTCTTATTATTATCTTTTTGTAGAGACCATGATATATTGTCCTTAGGATTCTTTAATGAATAGAATAGAAATTTGTTTGAAATTCAATGCATTTTGTCAAGTATTCATTTCTTTAAAAAAGAAAAATCTTACTGATTCCAAACTTTTATACAGCAATGCACATTTTATATAATTTTATTTTTTTGTCAATTTTTTACCTTTTTTTAACTTCGGGTACAAAATGAGCACCCTCTGAGCACCAAGTTCAAATAAAAGCATGTTAATTTTGGATCATGGAATTGTTATGACCAGAAAAGATAATCAGTTCTCCAGCATGTCTCTTTAAGCAGTTGCAAAGCTTTCCTATCAGTGTCATATACTGTATATCACACATATCAGTAGGTAGAGTTAATTCCAGAGTAAGTGTTAATTGCAGCTTAAATGTGCACTTATTGCACTCCACAATCCGAACGTAATGACCAGCATGACTAGTGGAATTGTCAATTATGCAGGATTTTGCGGTCTGATTATCAATTCCTATCGGACAGACTTTATTTAAATGAGAGTTCATGGCACATGACAATGAGGGTACACCTGCTGACTGGCTAATTAATCTGTGCGGGCCTCTTAGTCCCATGTGTCAGGTCTCCAAGTATAAGTTACCCTTTTTCACTCCTCCAAGATCACCTACCTGAATACAAGTCTCAGTGTAGCCATTGTAAGAAAGCAGGGCAAGATATTTTAAACTTCCAGGGAAATGGCGATTACTCAATTTTTAATGATCTAAGACCAGCCGGTTAATGTAATTACATGTGCTGTTCAAGCAATTCAGAAGCATGTTTGGTGTGTAGATCATAAACGTGATTGAGTCTAAGCCTTTGCCTGTTGAGCTTGTTGACGAGGAGCTGGTTTCTCCTTGACTTGCAGAAAATAAATCTCTCAGAGTGACCTTCCTAACCCTCCCCCAACCCTCTTGCTCCTCAGTGGCAAAGGTGGATGGTGAGATGCCTCCTTCCCCGGCCTCCTCTCACCACAGCAGCACACAGGCCCCATCTCTGACCGAGGAGAAGCGCACGCCGCAGGGCAGCCAGAACTCCCTCAATACGGTCAGCTCCGGCTCGGGCTCCACCAGCGGCATCGGCAGCGGAGGCGGGGGCGGCAGCAACAACACGGTGGTCCCCAATGCCATCCAGCCCTACGATGTGGAGATCCAACGTGGCGAGAACGAGGGATTCGGATTTGTCATTGTGTCGTCAGTGTCGAGGCCTGAAGCGGGCAGCACTTTCGGTAAGATTGCTCGGATAGTTTTTTTTATTAAATAATTAATTAATGCATTACATTTAATTGTTACAAATGTCTTTATTTCTTTAGTCTACATTTATATTAAATAAATAGAATGGACCCTTTTCACATTTCCGAGGTTCTCAGAAGCAGAAGTCGTCATATTTGGATATACTTATATAGTGGTAAACAGAAACTACCACAGATATAATTTTGCCCCAGCAGCAAACGAAAAGTACATGATAGCATTTCAATGACATTTTAAAAGGAGGAAAAAATATTGAGATTGATTACACTGATCAGAAGAAAGAAAGTGTCAAATTTGCTGTCACTCGCTGAGCCGTTCTATGAGAAACACTCGTGCAGCAACGTTAACCAGTTTTCTGTAATTTAATACCAGGCCAATAAACCACAAAGTATAGTGTTGTAAATGAATATTACATTTTTTTTAAATTTAAATATAAAAAACTTTATGATAGATTTACGATATTAATAACTGTGGAAACCTGGAATCACAGTCTGTGATCCACAGTCTTGTGTCCAAAATCAGCACATCAAATTGTGAGTCTGCAAAGTTTGTCTGGCCCTGCCTATCAGTTTGGTAAAAAAAAAAAATCTCAGTAGCTCAATTGGTGGAACATGACACTAGCAATGCCTACGTTTTGAATTTGATCCCAGAAAACATTTAAAATTATGAAATGTATGACACTGAAAGCACTGTAAATCACTTTGGATAAAATTGTCTGTTAAATGCATAAATGGGAAAAAGCAAAGTAATCACGTATATTCCTATTCACATCTTTTATATTATAAAAAGAGAAAATGACTGAGAAATGCACATTTTTTCTGGGAGCTTTTTGCCTCTGAAAGGCACTTTAGATGTGGTTTTCAGTTTTTGGTGGGTGTGGGTTCTTCGTATTCTCCTTATGCCAATCTGCATTTCTTGCGAGTTTCTTAGTGTGAAAGGAAGTGTTTGCAATGTCTGCCTGAAGCAGGGTTCGATATCCACCCTCTCTGCGTGGGGCTCTATTTCTGTTCTACTTCCCAAAACCAAACCAGTCTCCATTACACAAGATGGCCGTCGAGCATTTAGTTTGGCCATATCTCACCGTTTAGTCTTAGCAGTTGCCAGCAGCACTTGCCATTAGTATTCTTAACCAACTGTAATTGATAGAGAGATCAAGTTAGTAAAAAAGCAAATCAAGTATGACATCCCATGTTTACAGACTCAGATCTTTCTTCGCTATGTTCATCAGAACGCTTCCACTTTTTAAACTCACAATAGTGCCGTTGGCAGCCTTCACGTAAGTGAAAACTGGATCCAGCAGGCTCGGTGATTACTCCATGTGGGAGTTTTGTTCAGAGCATTGTGACGGAAGAGAGGAATGACAGATCCGTGTTTGAGAGGAATAACAGCGAGCACTAGTTTACTACAGTGATGAAATGCATGAGTTCCTGTGCCAGAGTCACTGTGAACGAGGACCTCAGAGCATAAACAGAGTTCAGTCATTAGTATTACAGTCAAACAACAAATCATCTTCATAGCGGTGTGACAAGCATGACAGGTTGAATTAATATTTTATAGTTGTGCTGACATGCCATCACAGCATTTAGATTGATCAAACATATATATTTTGCAGGATGTGACACCTAAAAATTGATTGACTGAAAGGTCAAATATAAAAAAGACTTTTAAAAAGGATGCTGAGCCTTGATTCGTCACAATAAAGAATAAAGAAGTGTTTTAGGGGCCAGTCTGCTGTATTTACTATTTTTTTTCTGGCTATAAAACCACAGCATTCATGTTGCTCAACTTTTAAAAAACACATCTCTAGACCTTGAATTTTTTTATGCAAAAAAGGTGTTCTGTTCAAATGGTCCTTAGTCTATTTTTGTTGCAATATTTTTGTGATTGAATTCAGCAAAACGGCTAACATCACCTGTCATGCTAAAAGGAACCACAAAGTGCAAACTTGAGTAATCCTAATGCTTCCCAGTCGTTTTTCATAATTTATCACAATGCGGTGCTCTGAGGGAATTTCAAGAGTTTACACCTTTTTTTCATGTAATTAAAATTCAAAAGTGGTGGTGGTGATTATTCACAGGATCTGAAGAGTGCTACAGAAATTATGTTCAGGGTGATCTACTGTAGCATGCAAATGCCTTTTAATAGTCCCAAATTCAATAGATTCCTATGTCCGTTCTTGCTATTGCCCCCCCCAATACCTTTGCTGTCCATTCAGTAACATGCTTTTGTCTGTCACAAGGTGTGTTTTGCTTGCAGGGCACATTCTGTGGGCATTCTATGAGAAATGTTGGCACTTTGGCTTGGTGGCTTGGTATATTAACCCCTACACATTCTCTCTTTCCTTTTTCTCTCTTTCTCTTTCCCTTTCTCCATCCCCACCAAAAAATAAAAAATAACCATCTTAATTAAAACTCATACATGCTCAATCACTGTTGGCCAAAAGCTGGAAACGCATGTGTGGCAATGCCTCATAAAATAGGTCGCATCATTGAGGGAAGCCCAGCTGACCGCTGTGGGAAACTAAAAGTCGGAGACCGGATCCTGGCTGTAAACGGCTGCTCCATCACCAATAAGTCCCACTCGGATATCGTCAACCTGATCAAAGAGGCTGGAAACACGGTGACACTGCGGATCATTCCAGGAGACGGTCAGTTCCTCTCTCTCATTCTCTTTGCCTTCGCTCGCTGATTTGAGAGCATATTGGTGCATGTGGGTGTGTGCAATATGTGTAATAGCACGGCTTCTCAGCATACTGCTCTCGCGAGCCTCACAGTAATAATGTAGATGATACATTCAACATTATTAGAAGAAGAATAATGAACAGGAACCTGCTCAATAAATATTCAACACGCTCTTAACCTTAGAGGCAGAGCGCCTTCATATTGTGCTGTTGTAATAATGACAGATGGCACACCAACAAGGTTGATCGGGGAACAGACACAGTCGTGCAGAAGCATCATACACATTTCAATGTTTCCCTGGAGATTTTAGTGGCAAGTGTTTTTTTAAATGAAAGTTTTAGAAAAAATTGCAGCTTTGAAAATTAAGTCAGAACTGAACAGTAATTATTGTTATTTATTTGTCCAAAAACCTGTTTATGTTTTTATAGAAAATACGTATATGTACTTAGAAAGTAAATGAAAAATATATTTTTCTATTTTTATAGATATTACTATTCCGCCTCCCTTATTGTTGTACCCTTTAAGTTGCACAGTTGTTGTTGATTAAAAAAGGTGTTTATTTAAAGTGACAAAAACCACATGCTTAAATGTAATCACACTTTGCACGGGTGTATCAAGTTGCACTTCAAATCTGCAAATCATTTGCAGCTGTCATCATCTACCCATTCAAGCATTCATTTTGCTTCATGCTCTTATTTCTTTTTTCGTTTGGACCAAAATGTCAGAGCTGCCTTTTTCCATACAACAAAAATGCATGATGATAACTGGCTGTCAAGTTCAATGTATTAAATTCAGTTTGGATTTGGAACCCAGGTCCCTTTTCACACTAAAAATAAACCTATATCAATTAGTTGTACTAAGCATTTTATTTTCTTTGATCAAGTCTCATCTCGCCTACAAAGTGAGCCAGAATTGACACTGAAACATAAGTGTTGGCCTAAGGTATAACAGCTCATGGTACGTATGTGCTTGCATGTGCCAGTGTGTCTATGCACTACATTGAGTGTTTTCCTCAGAGGGAAGGCATGCAATAATGAGAAAGCTGTTTCCAGTGAAGTCTCGGCTTTACTCTAATGCGTGATGCCAAATACACGGGTCTGTCTGAGAGTTCTTCATACTCTTTAATCAGAGAGGAGGAGAGTGCTGGCATACTATGGGAATTTCCAAAATTGACAGACTGTGGGTGTGTACGTCTGGTTGTGTTTACAGGAAGGCGAAGATGGTTCATTGGGTTTTTTTCCCCTGGATGCTACTTTACTGCAGTTACTAAACTGTAGCCTTTTTTCTGGTTTCTTTGCCTAATTTATGCATAATTTATAATTTATGCATTTCTTGTGCTTTCTGAGTGGAGAAAAGAGGAAAAAATAAGATAAATCTATGAGAGAGGAGAGAGAGAGAACGGCAAGTCTGTTCCCAACAGAGTGATGGGGAAGGGCTATTTTAAGACGGTGGGATTCACGGGCTGTGCACTCATCAAAGTTCCCCCTCTCTCCCACAGTGACTGCCCAGTGGGGCGGAATTAAAGCAGCTTTGAGCGCAAGCAACAGCAGACTGTTCATTGGTGACAGCTGACTTAAGAGTTAGGCTGATGCGGTCAAAGCAAATTATCCAAGATCAATTAAACTAAAAGTTCACACAAAAATGGACGAAAGGAGATGTTTTAATAGATGTTCAGGCTGCTCAGAAATCATTCTAATATGCTGGTTTGGTGCTCAAGAAGCATTTTTAATTATAAGTGTTGTAAACACTGTTTACAACAGTTTTTGCTGCTTAATATTTTTGTGGAAACCGTGATGCACTACAATTCAAATGTTTGGTGATTTAAAAAAAAAAGAAAAGAATTAATACTTTTATTCAGCAAAAATGCACAAATTGATCAAAAGTGACAGTAAAGATATTTATAATGTTATAAAATATTTATTTTTAAGCTAAATGCTATTTTTGTAAGTTCCATTCAACAAAGAATTCTGATTGTGATGTTCCTCCCGCAGAGTCCTCCAATGCATCACTGCTGACCAACGCTGAGAAGATTGCAACCATAACTACCACACACGCACCTCAACAGCAAACTGCACCTGAGCCAAGGTACGCACCACACACCTGAACTCAGCAACACCCATACCGTACAGCCATACTGAGCTGGAAGTTATTTAATTCATGTCATATATTTAATGGTTGCTCATTATTTATTAATGAAAGACAAATCACATCAGACCATTTCATTAAAAATGTAAAGTGGCTCCAAAATATATTTTGTACATTGAAGTCACACTCAAAAATGAATAAACATAATTTCTTAACAAAATATCAAACCAGGTGATACTAGACAGGGTTCCCGCTGGTCCTTAAAAAGTCTTAAATTTACTTGTATCAAATTTAAGGTCATAAAAAGTCTTAAATTGTACAAGAAAGACTTAATTATGATTTCAAGAGTTCTTAAATTTGGGTACGGACCAGAATTGCGATACAGCTTAATGTGACGATTAAACTTCAAAAGGCTTTGATTTCATTAAATAAACATGAGCGCTGCACCATTTCAAAGTCTGGTGCTGCAGCTGCTTTGTGTTCTGCCGTTACCGTGGAAACAGTTATAGGTCTGCCGTTCCGAAAGCGCCTCCTGCTGGCAGAGAATGAATGTGCATTTTCAATAAGGCTGTTATTGTGAGTAGGGTGTTCCTTCCTGCAATTTCTAGGACCCTGTAGTTTTTTTTGTTTTTTAAGTTGTTTTATTTAATTTATTTTTTTGTATGTACAGTATGTATGTATCAGCGGCTCATACTATTTTATAGCACTTGCTATTCAATTATGTATATTATTATTTTTAAGGAAGTATGTAGTTGTTTAATTGTATACAATTAATTATTGTCCTAACCAACTCCTAACCCTAAACATACCTGTTGGTAACCCTCTTGAAATATTTAACCTAATTTATTTCAATATATTCTATATATATTCTGGTTTTAAATTCAGTTTTTTTTTTTTGGAAAGAAAGACTTGTGTATATGCGAGACTTCAGTTCATTAGTCGCAGAGCAGCTTCACGTTTGATGTGTGACCCACTTAAAGTGCAGTAAACGGTAAAACGAATGCAGTACAAATTAGTGTGATTATTAGTACTTTAATAAATGTAAAATAATTTGAATACAAATACTAATTAACAACATCCAGCAGCACAGTGAACTGTTTTTCACAGCTAAATAGGCTAAATGGAGATTGCTGACACCCCCTCGATTTGAACACTCAAGTTCACGCCAGCTCTTACATTAAAAAAAGATGGAAAGATAAAAAATGAGTAGTTTCCATGGATCTGTTCTTTGCATCTGTTTGATGTTTGAATCAGGTCTCCTCTGTTGGAATAGAATTGGCTAGATGGCGCTGTCACAAAAAATAGAGTCCTAGAAATGCGGTCCTAGAACGCAGGATCATTGGGTTGTTTTTTGTTCAGACCAATGTGAAAATCGACCCATGTTTTTACCCTTCAATCACGCAGAGCTGTAAATCGATAAGAAGATCATTCATTATAAAAATCGAAACAGTAAATGTGTTTGTATGTTATTTAATTAATATAATAATTTATCGATAACCATTGTTTAAATTAATATAATAATTAATACTTTTGACTCATCCATTTTGTTAAAAATGGTTTAAAGGCTGAAATGTGAAGTGTATAATTTTATAAAACTTTTTGTTTTTGTAAAAATTTGTAAATCATGCTTTTTACAGTTTAATATGTTACTATAGACATTGCCCTGCCCCACTCATGGTATTCATTTTATTTGTGCAGGTCTTAAAAAGTCTTCAATTTGAGCTTAAAAATCCTGCAGGAACCCTGTAAAAGGTTTTGCTGAACTGTTGACGCGCTGCTGTTTTCAGATGCTGGCTGAGGAGAAGTCGATCTCTGGCCGTTACGCCGAGGAGCGCGACCGCGCCGAGGCCGAGGCCCGTGAGAAAGAGACGCGCGTGTTAGCGCTGGCCCGCGAGCTGGAGACCCTCACTGACCTGAAGGACGAGCTGGACCGGACCAACAAACTGCTGCGCGCCGAGATGGAGGACCTGGTGTCCTCTAAAGACGACGTGGGCAAGAGCGTAAGACGCTTCCCTGTCGTCAGAGACCGTCAGATGATCGGCGGATCGGTGGATATCTGACGGTGTTTGTGGTGAATCAGGTCTCCTCTGTTGGAATAGAATTGGCTAGATGGCGCTGTCACAAAAAATAGAGTCCTAGAAATGCGGTCCTAGAACGCAGGATCATTGGGTTGTTTTTTGTTCAGACCAATGTGAAAATCGACCCATGTTTTTACCCTTCAATCACGCAGAGCTGTAAATCGATAAGAAGATCATTCATTATAAAAATCGAAACAGTAAATGTGTTTGTATGTTATTTAATTAATATAATAATTTATTGATAATTGTTTAAATATATTAATTAATACTTTTGATTCATCCATTTTCTTAAAAATGGTTTAAAGGCTGAAATGTGAAGTGTATTATTTTATAAAAGTTTGTTTTTGTGAAAACTTGTATCTGAACTGTAAATCATGCTTTTTACAGTCATTTTACAGTTGAATAGTTTACCATA